ATCAGGACACTAGAAGCCCCCCCCCCCGCTGTTCCCACACACATCCCAAGGACCAAGAATACAGTGCATCACTTGCCCCAGCCTGAGAGTTCCTATCTATGCCTTGTGGCTGTTTATCTAATTGCCTCTTGAAGCCGTCCATGCTTGTGGCCGCCGCTGCCACCTCCTGTGGCAGTGAGTTCCATGTGTTAATCACTCTTTGGTTGACAGTGACCCAAGCACATGTGCAGAGAGTATTAAGGATCCTATGCCTCTAGAGTTTAAAATACACTCTAAGGCCACAGTGTCTCTGATCATCTGCTGTGTTGTTTTTTTAAAAGACACAGCATTCCTGAACATGTGCCGAGTTTTAAAAGGCATAAGGACATAATACCCCTGAGCAGAGACTTAAAATTTATTTTTAAAAAAGTTAAAAATTTTATGGTTGAAGAGACCTTGAAAATGGGCAGAGTTTCCTTTCTTAAGGAAACTGGTCTTTATTTAGGACAGAGGTCTAATGCAGGGGTCCCCAACCTTTTTGAACTTACAGGGCCCTTTGGAATTCTAACACATGACAGTGGGTCCAGCCCCAAAATGGCTGCCACAGGTGGCAGAGGCAGACATGAAATGGGCGCCCAAGCTTACTTTCACTCACACAGTGAAGATCTTTATGCCATGGTGGCAGCTACTGCCAAAGCAACACTTTTTTAAAAGAATCACACAGGCAAGCAAATCTCCAGTGGCCAATTAGAAGCCTTGCTGGGCAAAAGCCCCACTTGGCCCTGCCCACTTTCTAACAACACTTGGTGTGGTAGGGTTGCCAGTTCAGGGTTGGGAAATACCTGGAGATTTGAGGGGGGTGGAGCCTGGGGAGGGTGGAGTTTGGGGAGGGGAAAGACCTCAGCAGGGTATAATGCCATAGAGCTCACCCTCCAAAGCAAGATAAATGTTGGTTGTCTGGAGATCAGTTGTAATAGTGGGAGCTCTCCAGGTACTACCTGGAGGTTGGCAACCCTACTTGGTGGGCACCAGGAAAGGTGTTGGTGAGCACTGTGGCACCCACGGGCACTGTGTTGGGGACTCCTGATCTAATGTAATGTAGACTGGTAGAACAAAGTCTGAATCCAGTGGCACCTTTAAGACCAACAAAATTTAGCTTTAGAACAGTGGAAAGGGCAGTTAGTAGGGAATTAAGAAAATTATTCTAGACTGATTGTTTATGATGTTACAAATTTCTGATCTGTGCCACTGCCCAACTAGTGCTCATGTTGTCCAAGTACTATACTGTAGTGTATATCAATATACTATTTGTTCTCAATTTATATCTTCTAGAAAACAGCCAAGAAGTTAAAATTCTGGCCATCTGATTTTAAGATAGGGCTTGGATAGTGCAGGTGACAGTTTCTACACTGGTGATTTGCCCCTGGTTGGATGCTTGCCACAGCACCATGATGCTTCTGTCCACCGCCTGGATTTCCCTAGACCTTTCTGCAGTCTTTCCCAAAACCTGTTTTGGGAAGGATTGCAGCAAAGCTGAACTGGCTGCCATGTGGGTGAGAAAGTCTGGAATGGATTCTCCTGGCTCCACTCACATAGCAGCCATTTTCCTACCTGTGTCCTGAGGCAGCCACCCCCCACATCTTTTTTTTATTTTTTAAAAAATCTTCAATTAGTATAATAATATAATGGTATATCACTGACTCAATTGACAGGTTGTTAAAAAAAAACCTCAGAAAATGCCTCCCTCTAGATTCTAGATACAGAACATATATCTAAAATCCCCTTTGCTGTGGCGCTGCATTGGAACAGCCCAGTGGCAAGTATGCAGGACTAATGAGGAGGCCATTACAGCACACACACGGTTAACACTTTGAAAACAACACTTTTTAGTTATGAGTCTTCTATGCAAAAATGAATGCTAAAATAGTATTCTATATTTTAGGGCTACCACCTTTCCTCTTTGTGCTTTTAATAGCTGCATGCCATGCTGAAACTGAGCAGGAAAAGCTTTCTGAATCACTTAATTACTATTTCAGGGAGAACTTTGTCCCACCAAACTGGAAAATGGCTACAGGTCAGACAGTGGTTAAAAAAGAGAGAAGCCAACCCCATTACATGCTAGATGTGAGTCCACGCCTATCTTTGAAATTCAGCCCTCTCCTTGCCAGTCAACACTGCTCTGAGTGCGGACTGCAGCATATGAAGCTTCATTCATTCATTCATTCATTCATTCATTCATTCATTCACATTTGCATAACACCCCGTTCCCCCCATTTCCAAGGACTGAAAGCTGATTCAATTTTTAAAAACTGAAAATAGTGTTTCCGTCCTCAGTAAACTGGTCCCTTCTGCCCTGCAAATGACCACCATTTCTCAAAATTCCCAAAATACAGCTGGATGTCAATTGTTTCCTCCTTTCCCTTCTTTGTTTTACCACAATTCCCTTGAATTGCAATGACATTGCTAAAGCAATAAATACAATACTTCTCCAAGTATACCAATATTTTATTAAGCATTAACTGGCTTGGCTGCTTTTCATAAATACAGCGGAAGGCTGTAGTCTTAGGCACAATGTCCTTGGGAACTGGAACTGAAAGAGACTTTACTTCTAAGTAAACATGCATTAGGATCAGGCTCCAACAAGCTCCCAGATCCAATTAATTTTGAGCTGTATTTCCAATTCTGGCAACTGGGTTGTGTAAGTACGAATCACACCTAGCTGGGCTTGCAGCAGTTTCAATCTTCTCAGCGGGAAGGCTTTGGGGACTGCGGGCGGTGATGGCGCAGGAGACCCAGTAATCAGATGTAGCTGTTCGTGTGGTCAGACAGATCCTACACTGACTACTGAGCAGCCCGCGCACATCAGATCTTGAATGCTTCTGTCCGTCTCTTCGAGAGAAAAGGAACCGTCCTTGGCTAGGAGAGGCCCCAGACGATCAATAGGATCGTCACTCTGTGAGAATGGGGGAGACCGCCTGGGAAGAAATGGACCACATCTTGTGAGAGAACAAAAGGGGTTTGCATCTGGAAAAGAAGAGTTAATCTGTCTCCCTGTGTCAGTAGGAGAAAGAGACCCACATGCCACACACAGGAGTAAACACATTTCCCAGCTGAGTTTTGATTGCCAGGGGAGGGGGAACTGGGCACAGGTTTCTGTACGATCAGCAGAATCTTAGCAGGTAAAGCTTTCCCAGAGTTCATATGCTGGAAAATTGTTTGTTACATACTTGCCTGTCACACAGCTGTTAGAGACCCTCTCTGCAGCCCCCCCCCCCCAAGTGTCAAACTAAGCTGGCTCTGTGAAAACGCTGCTTTGGGAAGATGATGCAGGTGGTGCATTCTCACCCTGCTCAAACTATCTGGTTCTGAAGCTTCCACGCTGCCTAGCAAGCCACGTGCAATGCCGCACTCGACTTTATTTAAAGTCAAGAGAAAATATGCTCATGGTCCTCTCCCGGAGCACCTTTCCCAGGTTTCCAGCACAGCGTGTGGCTGTGTTCTGCTTTACTCTTATCACGCAACTGCTTCTATTAAGAAAGCTCTCTCCTACGGATACAAGAGGGGCTGTTTCTCAAGTACTCTGGAGCGATGCAGCTGGGCCTCCCCCAATACACCAGTCTGTGAGCGGCGGTTCCGTGTCCCTGGCTGTCAGCAGGACAGATCCGTCAGCGATCTCTGCCACAATCCCATTTACTCTCATTCTGCTCCACAGAAGGACACTGTAAAGGTGCAAGCCACTGTTGTCTGTGATGCAGCCTCAATCAGGAACTTCCAGCTGAAGATCACATACGCCCTCTGCCCCGAGGCCCCCACTTGGCACACTGTGGCTGAGAGACTCACGGCAGAGAGGAAGTTTCAGAGCACCTGTGCGCCCAAATGCCGAGCCGCAGAGCCTCTCAAGCGGGGCGGTTGCACCTTCCTTCCTGCCGCATCGA